GGGTTGTTGCTGCCACTTTGGCTGTGCCCAGTGCCTTCCACTAGCGAAGATGCCAGGGCTCCCTTTTGCTCCTCAGCTCTTCTCCTTAAACTCTCCACAGGGGTTGCAGCGAGATGATCTTTAAGGTCCCTTGCAACCCCAGCCATTCCAGGAGTCTGTGTTCCCTTCTTAACAGGTTATTCAAAAGCTCCTTCCAAATCCTTTCTGTGTTCTGGGCAAAGTCAGAGTGTCTGTGAAAAGGGGATTTCTGTTTCCCCAGACTTTTTGGAGGGTGCTCTGAGGGTATTTAGCTTCCTATTTCCCCAACAAAGGACACTTTTAAGGTTCAGCTGGACAGGGTGCTGGGTCATCTTTTCTAGACCATGATTTTGCTAAGAAAGTTTGGACCAGAGGATGCCTGAGGTCCTTTGCAACCTGGTACTCTGTGATTGTTTCTGTTATTTACTGTGGCTTGGACGTGCTGCTTCTCAGCAGAGGGTGGTATTATTTCAGCTAATGACTTAGAGACCTGCTCAGTCCCTATGTTTTGTCCTCTTAAGCAAGGGGCTCAGAGCACCCTGTTCTAGCTACTTTGCAAACTGTCCTTAGTGTCTGTGAAAAGTAACACAGAGAAACAGCAGAGAAACCTGAGGAAACAATGAATAAGAGACTTATATCCTTATCCCAGATATGTTACAAGCCTTTTCTATGTACCTTCCCCATTTTCCTTCATAAATTGTTTGATTTTATCTGTTTGTGATGTAAACTCTAAGCATTTCACCAGTCATGACACAGTGGGACTCAGTGGATTGAAGTAAAAGATTAAAGTGAAATCCATGCTAAAAACGTGTTGTTACAGTGAAGCATAAATGATTATTGTAAAAAAACAGCTGTGGTGAACACTTAGTATGAATCTATCCCTCTCTGATGTTTTACTCCAGCAACTCCGAGACAAATATCTGATAAGTCAGTGTAGAAGTATTGTTTGTGTTGGAAGGGAACTTAAAGGTGTTTAGTTCCAACCCCCATCAATTATTGGTTTTCTTCCAAGGAAATATTTTTTAAGAGTAGTAGGTGAGGACAGAGATTGTTATGCTACTTTAGTAATACCTTCCCTAGGTGCTTGTAGAGAAGCAACAATCACAATTCTGGTTCCAGAGACACCTCGGTTTCTGGTGCTTTCTTGTGCTATGAAAATACATGGAATATGCAGAAAGAGGGGAAGGGAAAATTATGGGTTTTCTCATTCAGAAAATGGATGAACTCATGTAAATAAAAAGAATCTGTAAATAAAATGCAGAGGAACTTGTAAAGACAAGTTAGTGGCATATGAATAAAGGCTAGTGGCAAGTTTTCAGCTCAGGAGGCATCTGCCCAACCTGACAATGTTGTAGCCAATAAATTGCCTTCAGCAATTTGTTGGCTCGTGATGATGAGCCAACATCAGCCTTTCCTCCCTGGACTTTGTCTCTTTTGTATGCCCTGAATTCGGGTGATTGTGGGGCACAGAGAAAGACAAGAGATGCATGGTGTCTGCATGTTGCTTTGACTCCATTAACCATGTGTTAGTGGCATTGTATGGGGTTATGTACCCTACCATATAGGCTGCAACTTAAAGGCATGACCTCATGGACACAGCACCAAAAAAAACCAGGGGAGAATGGTGTTAAAATAAATGGATTGAGATAGTCAGTGTCTGCATCATGTTACAGTGAATGCTTTACAGGGCCAGGAGCATTTCCCAGCTCCTTTTAACTCTTCCCAGTTGGCTGACTTCTTGCAAAGTTTAGCCTCTCGTGGAGTGCTCATCTCTCCTAACTCCCTGAGAAATTCCCACAGCGTTTTGTGGTAGATGGTTTGCAAAACTTGCAGAGCAGCCCAGGATGATTTCTTTCTAGATGTGCCCTCCATGCAGTGATATTCCTTGCACCACGTGCCTTGACAGAGAGCAACTTGTTACGAGAGCTCTTTGGTCTTGTCAAAAGCTGCTCCATGCCACCTTGCATGCTTCTCCACTGACCACTGAGCTAAACTGCTGTGACCTGTTCATCTCTCCATCCTGGAGGGTGGTGATGTGCACCCAGGTTGCAACACATAGCTGGAGATGAGCACAGCAGAGCCCAAGCCTCCTTGTCCCATGTTTGCAACTGAGGACCTAAGCAATGAGGTTTAATACATGGCTGTACCTGTGCTGATTAACTTTTTCAAGGACCAGAGTGAAGCTGG